TATTATTATCACAATTCCTCCATTAAATTTATTTGGTGCTAATTTAAATTGGCTTTAATTAATTAAGGTATTTTAATCAAACCAACACTTGTGAAATATATTTGAAAGTAACCAAAATTAATTTATATACCTAAATACAATACTGCCAAAATTTACTTGGCCAGAGACGGAGATTATGCACGCCAGAGAGACAACCGGAGGTAGCTGGCGCATTGGCAGCGACAGGGAAGGAACCAGATCGACTGTCCTTCAACCAGTCTCGCCGGAACAAAGAGAAGGAGAGAGGGCAATCACTCAGTTCGACCAAAACGGGAGTCGCTGCTCGTCTGAGTAGTTGTGTTCACCGGAGCTGCGAGCAGGAGGCGCGACTTGCAAGAACGGTGGTAGCGGCGGCGATGGGCAAAAATGGTGGTGCTAATGACCGACGCCGAAGTGAGATGCAGGGAGAGAGATGACAAAGAGTAAGAGAGGAGATAGAGGAGGGGTGAGACTGATTTACAGTCTCACGCGAGAGAGAAAGTCGACTAAAACGCCCTTAAAATTTAGCGACCGACTATTAATTGACATGGCAAACAGGCTCTATCGCTAAGGTGTAAAATTGGTCGCTAATCCTTCGTTAATACAAATAGAATTTTGGTTGTCACACTGTCACAAAGTGGTCGCTCATCTATCGCTACTAATTCCCACCAATTATTGCCAGATCTTTGGCGCTAAATATTGGGACGGATTGTATGGTGGTCACTCGTCCATCACTAAATCGGTCACTTAATTGGTGCCAATTCTTGGTGCGAATATTAGCAACTGCTGCAACGTCAGTCGCTAAATCGATTGCTAGTTGTAGCTGAATGGGTCGCTATTGTTATAGAGTTTTCTTGTTAATCCTCTGATGATATTGGTCATAAATCCATCATTTATTAGCGATAGAAACGCGTCGGTTGCTAATATCAGTCGCTAATCAACAGTTTTTTTTTAAGTGTAAATTCATAGGGATTTTCAACTGTAATTTATTTGCCTTAAATTCTTTTTCAATTTGGTTTATCCCTTCAATTCAGTCCATCAGTTGTTCTAGAATACATGATGTCAACCCATATTGCATTTCTTCAATACTAAAGCTTTTTAAGTCCCTAAACATGTATAAACTACTTCTATTTCTTTTATCATCAATTTAACTCCAACATAAATCATTAGATTGCTCCTTTGCAAATTGAATGGTTTATATAATTTGTAATACTTGGCAAATATATTAGTAATATCAAAATATTTTATTATCATCAAAAGAAATTTGAGACCTTGGAGCTAACAATAGTGTTTCCCCCTGAGACAAATGGCTAATAAAAAAGAATAATACAGATTTTGGAAGACATGATTAGGATGTGGGTGTTTGATTTTGGGGGTCGTTAGACAACCATTTATCCTTAGTTGAATTTGCCCATAATAATAATTGTTAGACTTCTATTATTATGGCTCCATATAAAGCTTTATATGGTAGGAGATGCAAGAAACCTTTGTTTTGGAAAGAAGCTGGAAAGAGGAATTTTTTTTTGAACACCAAAGAAAAATAAGATTTTATTAGTGAAAATTAAGAGAAATGCCAGGAACTACACCCAAGCTATTAGGCTATACCCTTTACACCCATTGAACCTAAACCTAAAGTGCAGAGAAAGAAACCTCCACCTTAGAAGAACCATACAAAAATAGGACAGAAAGCAGAAAAGCATATGGATAAGGTTAAAGATTCAACATCAATCTACTTTTCATGAGATAGGAAAAGAGATTGACAAAATGCAGTAGAAATAAGAACGATCCAAGCTATTACAAAGTTAAAGCCAAGCTGAGAAAGTATTTTCCTCATCAACGCCTTTCTTAGCCAAACAATCTGCAAATGAGCTTTTTAACCTGTTAATGTGAGTAAAGTTGACATAGGCTAGAGAGGATATGATGGCATCAATTTTATTGAAATGTGGCCACCATTGCCAAGGTCTAGGGCACTTGTTGGACACCCACAATATGGAATTTTTCGAATCAAATTCCACAATCAAAGGAAATGATTTGAGATGTGAAGAACTAAAAATTTCCAAAGCGAATAAGATAGCTAGTAGTTTGGCTTCATTTGATTCCATAACTCCAACATTTTTGTAGAAAATGCAAAGTACAAAACCACTGGAATCCCTTGAAACTCCACCAATGCCAACTGGTCCTGGTTTTCCCCTTGATGTGCCATCAACATTAAACTTTTTTAGAGGGAAGAAAATAATTCCATAAACATTTCAGATTAAAGTTGCAGGGAGAATCACCCAATTCTTTTTCTTCCAAAAGAGAGTAAAAACTTTTTTAAAGTGAAAGTCCCCACCAATTGAGACTATAAACATTTTTTAGGTCACAGTTGAGAAGGTTTTCTTAATTTAGGATCGGTTTAAGAGGAACTTTTAATAGATAGAAGAGTTATACATATCCTAAGAGGCAACATTTAGAGTTTGTTGTGGGTGATTATGAATTCCTAAAAGTGTTTGCTAGCTATGGAAGAAGATATGAGATTTGGGAGAAAAGGGAAACTAGATTCAAGGTATATAGGGTCCTATAAGGTATTACAAAGAGTTGGGAATGTCGCTTATAAGTTGGAGTTATCCCAAAACTTGCTTTTGTATAAATTTTGCTTTTGTATACTAGTTTTTCCATATCTTAATTGAGAAAATACATGTCGAGTCCCACACACGTAATGATTATACCACATACAGTTAAAACTAGAGAAGATTGTATGTAGAGAGAAACCAATAATTACAATAGACCGTTAGGTTAAGAAGTTAGGCTTTAAGTAGATAGCTTCTTTTAAGGTGTTATGGAGAAACCATTTAGTAAAAGAATCCACATAGAGCTAGAGGAACCTCTTGGTTGAATTCCAATTCAATATGCATCTCTAAATCCAAAAATTTTTTATGTTAAAAATTCTTGTTTTAAGTAGGGCTATGCATAGTTCCTGGGGGATTTGAACCGAACTGAGAAAACATACTAAATCGAACTGAAACGGAAAAAGAACTGAGATAGTAGGAGCCAAACTATATTGAACCAAATGCAATTTATTATTTTAGTTATGGTTTCGGTTCTTATAAAGAACCATACTGGAACCGCATCGGAAACGTACCAAAAACCGAATCGAATTGAAAAACCGATTTGTCCATATATTTTTTTAAATGTTTTAGTATATTATGTTAGTTGTAGCAGACATCAAATTTTATTATTTGAAAGCAAAATCTTTATTAGTTGATACTCTTTAATTAATAATAAAATAGAGTATAAATTAAAATTATTTATCCCGCATAAAAAATTAATATCTAATCATTGTCGTTATCTCTTATTGTATTTATTATTTTAAAAATATGATAATTCATAAATGTTTATTTAGTATCTTACTATATTTATAATTTAAATAAAAAGTTTTTTTAATTATAAGTGACAAATTTTAACTTTACTTTGATATTAGAATATTTTTATATAAAGGAACGTTGTAATATGTTTTAAAAATATAATAATTTTCAATAGGAGAACTAGAATTGGAATCAGAACAAAAGAACCGAAACCGAAAAACTAAAAAACCTTACCGAAATCATACTGAAATTTTGTTTGGTTCGATTTTGATTCTTAAATCTTCGATTCCGGTTTTGATTTCTAAAAATGAAAGAACCAAATTTTTGGTTCGATCTCGTTCTTCTTAAGAACTGTACCGGAACCGAACTTGTACAACCATAGTTTTAAGTGTATATGTTACCATATTTCTATAACATGCAAGGATGATAATATAATGATAGCAACAACGTTAAAGATGAAAATAGAATAAAATTATGTATACATCTTTTAATACTTTAAATATAATGATAGTAGAATCATTAATAGTTATAATAATATGAGATTTAACAAATTAATTATATCCCAAAATATATCATTTAATAAAAATATTAAAATTAATCAAAAGCACTTTTTGTATTAACTCTATCGATATCTTCGTGGACTTAAGCCAAATCATATCGATTTCATTATTTATTATCTGTTTTTATCTCTTTACTCTTATTTTTTTAAAATATTATTTGTAATCAGTTGATAAATTTGTTTCTAAATCAGTTACAAAATCCATCAATATTTTATAGCTTGTAGCGAATTCGTTTCTAAATCAAATGTTTCATTCTAGTTTAAATTCCGTTACTAAAGCTGTTGCTATATGACATCTGTTTCTAAGGGGCGTCTAGTTGCTAAATCTCATGGGAAATAGGTTGGAAAAATTAGGTCCAATGTTAGCTTAGTAAAATTTACAGGAAAATTAAATTTCTGAAGATCAAGATTCCATCTCTATTTTCCCATGTACACAGTAAAGTAATTTTCCAGTCTCAAAAAGTGAAAAAATTAAATTCTTAAAAAATAAGACATTTTAAATTATATAATAATATTTATTATTATAATTATACTACTTTCATAGAATTTTTATTATTATCCGGCCTCTATTATCAGAAACTACCTAATCTGGCTCAAGGCTTAGTTACAGTTAAGGCTCTTCGCCGCTCCCTGTAGATTTATTTAGTGGGGATCAAACCCGAGAGCTCTTTCTATATTTCTAACCTGTATTGTTAACTGAGCCACAACCCGTAGGTTATCGTCTTAACAATTTAATTTTTCTAAAATTCTACTTTCTTTGAAAATTAATTTTCTAGGAATAAGTTAAAATTTTTGGGAACCAAAATGTAGCCAACGTAGAACGTCTTGCACTCGTAACCATTATATAAAACAAGTTCACTTTTCTTGAATGTAAAATTTTTTTATTAGGTAATGACTCAGACTTCACCATAATATTTTTACCACTAGTCTTCCGTCAAAAATGGCCGGACGGAATGGACCGGGATCAACAATTACTTATTATTATTCTTATTTTGGGAAATGATAACTTTATATATTATTTTATAATATTATAAAATAGTACGCAAATTTGCGTCACTCTACTCTACTACATAAGGTTATATATGTTGAGATTCTGGGAAACTACTGAGTACCACTAGCTAGTTTCAAACTACAAACAAAGAGATGGACTCTTCTTCCCTTATTTGGTCAAGCCTTCTCTTACTACTATCTCTAGTTTTATGCCTAAATAGGAAAAATTGGAGGACTGACAATGGCAACAAGAACCGACCTCCAGGGCCAACGGGATGGCCACTCGTCGGTAACATTTTCGATCTTGGAATTATGGCACACCGGATTTTATATGAGCTTAAATTGAAGTATGGACCAGTGCTGCGGCTAAGACTAGGATCGGTGGACACGGTGGTAATACAGTCAGCGAAGGCTGCAATGGAGCTGTTCAAGAACCATGACGCCAGCTTCTGTGACCGAACGGTTCCCTGTGTGCTTACCCCTCATAACTACAAAGACGGATCACTTGCACTAGGTCGGTTTGGGCCATATTGGCGAACATTAAGGCGTATCTGTGCTATCGAACTCCTGGCCAACAGGCGAATGAATGAGACAGTCCAGATTCGACGGAAATGCATAGATGTAATGATACGGTAATGTTTGTTATCGTTTTAGTATTTTTGTTTATGTCTGATTCAATATCCACTTCAGCAAAGCTTTGCGTTTTTGATAATAAAAAAATTGTCGTTTATATTGCGTTTTTAACCACTGTCCAATATACATGTTTGTTATTCCCAAGAATTTTAGATATTTTTATAGTTTTTTTTCATCAAATTATTATTATTTATTGCCTATTATTAGTTGCTTATATGGCATTTTGTTATTTATTAAAATTTTTAATTATTTTATTACCTAATAATAAATTTATTATATTTTAGTATTTTCTTGTTTATGTCTGATTCAATATCCACTTCAGCAAAGCTTTTGCGTTTTTGATAATAAAAATTGTCGTTTATATTGCGTTTTTACCACTGTCCAATATACAATGTTTGTTTATTCCCTGAAGAATTTTAGATATTTTTAATAGTTTTTTTTTTCAATCAAAAATTTATTATTATTTTATTGCCTATTATTAGTTGGCTTATAATGGCATTTTGTTAATTTTTAAAAATTTTTAATTATTTTATTACCTAATAATAAATTTATTATATTAATGATAAAACTCTTTTGTTTATTTTCTCTTTCTAAAAATTAAGAAGTTCATAATAAATTTATCGCACTTGTCATTGTTGAATATGATAAAACTCTTTTTTAACAATTTTTTGTTTTGGTAGTAAAAAAACTAAAAAAAAAAATAGAGAAAATGACTACACATATTATATATTTTATCATATTAATTTATTTAAACCTCTCAATCAAACTTAATTTATACAGTTTTTTTAGTTTTTTTTATTTATATTTATTATCTTTTATGAATCTTTTTAATTTATTAATAATTAATTGTAAAGTAAATTGATATGTTTGTTTATATATAAAGTATAATAAATAACTAATAAAATAAAATTTTAAAATAACTTTAAATATGAAGATAAATAGCTCTAATCTTATAATAAATAACTAATAAAATAAAATTTTAAAATAACTTTAAATATGAAAATAAATGGCTCTAATCTATAATACATAAGTTATATCTATTAAATCCTCAGAATATGCGGGAGTTGAATTAACAAATTAGTAGATACTTTCACCAAGTTGAATTAACAACCAATTTTTTTTTTTTTTATGAATTATATTGATGTTGAATATATATTTTTGTGGATAAATTTTTTTGTCCTACCCATAAGTGATTGTATCATTAGCGTGGAGTATGTTTTTTTTTTAAGAATTTCCGTATTTTATATCTGTATTATTGTGTCAGTATAGTACAAAGATGCTCTTCATGATAATTTATTATTTTAGCCTTCAATTATTAACATTCAATAATTATAAGTTTCAACTAACTTTAGCGATAACCTCTTTTTCATTTTCTCATCATTCTATTTATTAAAATTTTAATCTCAAAGAAAATGATGTTTGCTTTCCCATTAAATTAATATTATATATATAACCCAAAAGTCCAACATTTTGTTAAATGTTACTGTGGAAAGACTGAGAAAGTTTTTGTTTTTATTTGATCCACCTAATTTAAAATTCTTTTTTGTCTCACTATCTCTTCGTAATGACATTCAATTTGATTGGTAATCTTATGCTATCAAAAGACCTTTTAAAAAAGACCTATTTTGATTCCAAAGTGCAAAGAAGGGTTGAAGTTCTTTATTCAATTTGATTGGTAATCTTATGCTATCAAAAGACCTTTTTGATTCAAAGTGCAAAGAAGGGTATGAGTTCTTTGAGGCCATGGACAAGGTCATGGTTTGGGCTGGAACACCAAACCTTGCAGACTTTCTACCATTCTTGCAATGGTTGGATCCACAAGGACTCATAAGGAACATGTCAAGAGACATGGGACGTGCAAAAGACATTGTGGCTGGGTTTGTTAAAGAAAGAATTGAGGATTATAAAATGGGGAAGAAAAAGGCTAATAAGGACTTCCTTGATGTGTTGTTGGAATTTGAAGGTGATGGTAAAGAATGGGAAGGAAAAATTCCATATGACAAAATTATCATAATCATTTTGGTAAGCATAGATACTTAATTATAGGAGTATGTGTGGCATAGCATTTGAATTTTTTTTTTCAATAGAAGCATTATATTGAATTTAATAAATTATTGGTTGTGTTCAGTGTTGAAGGAAATGTTTTTTGCTGGGTCAGAGACTACAAGCTCGACAATGGAATGGGTAATGGCAGAGCTATTTTCTGATCCTAAAGCTTTGAGAAAAGTTAAAGATGAACTTGACACAGTTGTTGGAGAAAACAGGAAAGTTGAAGAGAGTGACATAGATAAATTGCCATATCTACAAGCTGTTATAAAGGAAACAGTTAGATTACATCCTGTACTTCCTTTACTCCTTCCAAGAAACACAATAGAAGATACAAATTTTATGGGGTACCATATATCTAAAGGCACTCAAGTTCTTGTAAATGCATGGGCGATAGGGAGAGATCCGGAATCTTGGGAGGATCCAATGAATTTCAAGCCTGAGAGATTTTTAGGTTCAAATATTGATTTCAAGGGGCAGAATTTTGAGCTCATTCCATTCGGGTCAGGAAGAAGAATATGTGTGGGCATGGGATTGGCTCAGAGAGTAGTTCCACTTGGTCTGGCCTCTCTGTTGCACAATTTTGAGTGGGATCTAGACTCTCAGACTTTAGACATGCGCGAAAGAATGGCAATAACAGTGAGAAAACTTGTACCCTTGAATTTAGCATGCAGGAAACGTCCAACGAAATCTAGCTAGGTTTAATTTAATTTAGTTTATGGTAATCTAGTATTATATGCATTAGACTAATATCGTTAATAAACATTTTGTGGTCTACATCTAGCTTATCATGTTCTAGATGTGTAATAGTATAATTTTATTGGAATGATCATTTGCTTGTTTGGAAATGTGAAGAAAGCCACAAAGAAAGATTTACAATAATAAAATTTCTCCTTGAGCATCTCCAAAACTATAAAGCATCAGTTCTATATAATTTCTCCTTCGGCATCAGTGTTTTTTAGAAATTACATAAACACTTCAAGAATGATCTTCTAATTATGAGGCGTTTTTCAAAATAAATATACCAAAATGAAGTATATTTTGTAAGATAATTTCAGATTACTTGTAATTTTGGGTTCGTGAATTATTTAATATTAATTCTGAAACATATAACTGCATATATTTGGACGAAATGAATGCAGATAAGCTAGCATCAGAGCAGCCTCGAATTGGTTGCCTAAGTCTAATTGAGAAGTTGCTTAAGCAAATGTCTGTCATACGAACAAAGATATGCTAAGAAAGAGAAGAGAAGAAGAAGAAGAAGAAGAAGAAGAAGAGAGAAGGAAATAGTTGCAATAACAACAACAATAATGAAGTTTTAGTCTTAAGGACAATGTCCATACGAAACAAAGTATATGCTAAAGGAAAGAGAGAGAAAGAAGAAAGAAAGAAGAAGAAAGAAGAAGAGAGAAGGAAAAATAGTTGCATAACAACAACAATAATAAGAAGTTTTTAGTCTTGAGAGGACAATGGACTGTGGGGAGCAACGGGCCGTACTTCCCTACTCTCCACCCCTGGGGTTTAATGCAAATGCCATATGAGGTTATAATCCATTGAGCACTTGGTAAGGCTTAAGCTTAGTCAACCAAAGGCAATCTAACGTGCTTTAGCTTTGTCCAGCGTGGTTTCATTAGGTAACTTATTGGGTCATAGCTGTAGTTTATTATATAACAGAAATGAATATAATATTAGTAATAATTTTGATGTGTATTCGTATGAATTATTATTGAAGCAGTCACCAGAAGTTTACAAATAAAAAGCCACATTAGTGTTATCAGAGAAGAGAAGAAGAAGAAGAAGAAGAAGAAGAAGAGAGAAGGAAATAGTTGCAATAACAACAACAATAATGAAGTTTTAGTCTTAAGGACAATGACTGACTGGGGGAACAGGCGTACTTCCTACTCTCCACCTGGGGTTTATGCAAATGCATAGAGGTTATAATCCATTAGCATTGGTAGGCTTAAGCTCAACCAAAGGCTAATTAACTGCTTAGTTTGTCCAGCGTGGTTTCTATTAGGCTAACACTTTTGGGGTCATAGCTGTAGTTTATTATATAACAGAATGAATATAATATTATATAATTTGATTATTTATTATTATTGCAACAATTACAAATAAAAAGCCACTATTGTATCAATAAAATGATACTTTTTGTAATTTGATTTGCTTATGCTTGCTATAGATGTATGCAAGCGTAAACACCCATGCATGCACGAATCTAGTTGTATACGTGTGTTGAAGATGAAAGGGATAGATGGGATGGGATGGCTTAATATCTTACGGTCGCAGCATAAGAAATATTAAGGTTTCTAAAAGATAATTAGGTTTATGATCTTGTAATGGTGTGATGTAGATAATACGCCAAACTTGGTTATGATATATAACAAAACAAATAACCAAAGACCAAAGTTATTTAGCTTCAATTTAAAAGCTTCCTAATTAGAATGACATTAAAATATCCTCAATGATATTTTTAATCAAACAATAAAATTAAAAACTTTCTGATTAAAATAGGATTAAATTATCCTTCATGATATTTTTAATCAACCAATAAAATTAAAAGTCTAATTAGAATATGACTAAATTATCCTTCATAATATTTTTAATCAACCAATAAAATTAAAAGTCCGTAGGAGTATTTTTGGGAAATCTAATATTTTCCCATACCCACTTTTATATACTCCCTCCGTCCCATTTTGTTTGCATAGTTTGACAAAATACGCATATTAAGAATTTAGTTAATAAAAACATTTTACCATTTTTTACCCTTAAATATTAATAAAAGTCTTTCGTTTAATAAACATCCATAAACGTTATGAGAAGAAAAATAATTGTTTAAATGTATAAATTTAGATTTTACAAACATTTTAGGACATCTAAAAAAAAAAAATAATAAGCAAACAAAATGGAATGAAATGAGTGTATTATAGATATATAATTATAGATAACAGTTAAACTCAAGCTTAGCTATTTTTAAATAGCGAGCTCGAGTTTAGATTTTCAAACTCAAAACAAGTCAGAGCTGAGCTTGAGTATAACTTTTGGTGAGCTCCAGCTTCACTCGAGTCTACTCGTTTTTGAAAGGTCTTCCTATGAGAAACATGAAAGATACGTTGTTTATCATTATCAGGTTAAGGATAGAATGAGACAAAATATGAGTCTTAGTCTAGTGGCAAAGCTGAGTAGACTTTTAGTCGTATCTCACCAATATGAAATCCTTATAGAATGAGACTACCGATGAAAAATTAGAGGTAGAATGAGAAAGTCCTTGCTCTCAAAAATTGGCATATTTTTAGCCATCAGGTTAAAGATAAAACGAGACTTTTGAGCCTTGTAGCTCAACCACCAAGTGAATTCTCTCATCAAAATTCTCATCTTTTTCGCTAGCTGTTTAAGTTACGCTCTACTTCTCCGTACAGCCACTTCCTTTTCTTTCATTAATTATACTTAAAGCTAATTTAGAAGGCAACTCTTGATCTGTGTGTGTATACATGCTCCGTTTTTCAATCTTGTTTCTTTTATTCTCTGTTTCTTAAAAATTTCAAGAAAACAATATTTTTTTGAGTTTATGCTATTTGAACTTTAGATTGTTTCTCAAACAAGCTTATTTTTCTCTTGTTTCTGCTTCAAGAGGCAGACAATTTCGTTTTAGGTTTTATTTTTTAGACAATTTTCTCTCTTTTCCCCAAACATTGAAAAATTTCAGCGTTCTGATGTGTATTATAATAGGTTGAATTGTATTCGAGTTTGTAACTTCATCTAATTATTGGCACAAGTTAGTGCTGATTTTCATTACTGAAAAACTTAAAGAACTTGTAAATAAAAATTTTTGGACCGATGTTGATATTGAAACATTGTTGAACAAATCTTGTGTACAAAGCTGCTTCTCCTTCACTTGATCCCTTTCAATTTCTCTTTCGAATGTTGCTATTACTGGTTATTAGATGACTGAAAAATATCCTAACATTTTCTGCCAACTCAAAACGAGAATATTGACTGATTTCATTTAAGTGAGAGAATTTTTCTCTTCCATGGCTGATTTGATTTTGTGCGCTTTGAATATTGTGGGTTTTTGCCTAAGAAAACGATTGTATACTACGTCAAGGGCTAAAGGCCCAAGGGAAGATGGAATGAGTCAAGACCCAACCTGAGAATAGGAGTTGCCATCCAGATAAAATCCGGTATAATTACCACGTAGTGATTGTATTCCTTGAAAAGAGTCCAACTGTTTAACCAGGATCTGAATAAGAAAGTTAGATGTGGGCTTGGAAAGGTGTTAGGTGCCCAAACCCAACTAGCCACGGCATCGGCTCCATTTTGTTGGTTTCTCTAAGTAAGGGGTTGATTTTAATTTTTAAGCTCATTACTGTAAAAAAAAAAAAAAATCCTTTTGAAAATAGATTAATTTTGAAAATCAAAAGATTGTTTTTTCACATTGATATGCCATAACCATAAACATAAAAATAAATTAAAAATCCACAATAAATAATTAAACATACAAAGAAAGGAGGGAGGAGAAAATAATTACATCCTCAATAATTAAAAAAAAACTACAACTAATTACCAACTCCTTTCAAAATAATCTACAATTTAATTAATTGCATCTCCTTTAAAAATATTCTACAACTAATTAATTACATTCCCACAAGTATTAAGTAAATAGATAAATAATTTAATTAAATAATCTTAACCATTCATCTAACAAATATAACATGCACCTTTAACCATTCATCTAATAAATATAGGTACAATAACTAAATAAATAATAATCTCCCAACAAATTAAATATAATTATAAGATTAAAACAAAATGAAATAACTCGAAAATAAAATTTTATAGATTTTTCATTTAAAGATTTAATTTTTAATTGCAACCAATGAGATTATACAACAAAATTTAAAATAAAATGTTATATTATTTATAAACCGGACCTATAAACCAGTTTGAAATCTTCAAACTGGATGAAAAACCTATAAATCAGTTGAAAACCAAACTAAACCGTTGAGTTGGACCGAACCTGGTCCAAATCGAACCGGATTACCCTAGAAAGACCTAGAGTTTGGCAGATGTGGGCCCTGTTATGTATGGCACAATCAAAGAGGGAAGGTGAATTGGGTTGTCAAAAAAATTAACTTTTAAAACACAATATCAGAAATCTATAGCAGCGGAAATAGAAAGCGTTTGTGAGAAACAGTTATCAAGTTTAGAACTTCCTCACAAGACTTTTGCAAGATTAGAAAGACTTTGTGAAGAATAGTTATTACGTTTAGAACTACTTTACAAAGTTTATACGAAATTAGAAAACTGATTAAAACTCAGATTGTGATTTCTACTAAATATAAAATAACATATTAGAGATTGGTAAAATTACAATATAGAAATCCAGAGTTCTAATGAGAATAGTTATTCACCGTTTAGTTAACTATTTACAATTGTTGTAATAACGAAAAATTAACAAACTGATTAAGAACTCAGATTGTGATTAGTTCTACTAAATAATAAACACTACCATAATAGAGATTGGTGAAAATTACAATATACGAAAATCCAGAGTTTCTAAGGTTACCACAAGAATAAAACTTTTCATGTTTAAAGCAGAAACTTATTATTAGAAAACTGATTAAAACTCAGATTGTGATTTCTACTAAATATAAAATAACATATTAGAGATTGGTAAAATTACAATATAGAAATCCAGAGTTCTAAGGTTCCACAAAGATAAAACTTATTCATGTTTAAACAGAAACTTATTAACAACTTTGCATTTCTGAAATGAATAACATAAGTGTAAATAGAATATAATCAAGCAACACTTCAGAAAATAAAATAAGATAAACACGGAGATTTATAGTACTTCGGCACTAACCCACCTACTTCCACTCCTCAAGACTCATCTTAAGATCCTCCGCT